AATACGAAGGGCCAATACGGACTTGGAATAATGATCATCGAGGGAAAACACGCGGAAGTCGGTCAGGGTATATTCATTTCAGACATTCAGGAAGGCAGTGCCGCGGAGCAGGTAACAAAACAATTGCTCTCCATTTTTCGAACGATCATTGTTTCCATTCATTGCCTGATTAGAATATTAATTATTAATTATTGCAATTAGAATTATTGTATTTCATCCTTCCTTCACGATGAAGAATGGGATTCTGTTTTGCCAACTGCAATGCAATATTCATTTCTTATTTTGCATATTGCAGGCCGGTTTGCAAGTGGGTGACATGATCCTTGCTGTCAATATGGATTGTCTGTTGGGCTCGACTTACGACGAGGTAAAGATGGTTGGAAATTACGAATCGTTTTCCCTCCCCTCCCTTTTTTATTAATAAAGAAAATGAAGATTGTTAAAAGAGATATGATTAATGATCGATCTTTGGAAAATATTTTTTAAAATACGAAACTTTTAAGCAATGAGATAAATTTTAACAAATTTTGCGAAATCGAGTAATAAATAAAAATTTCAACTTCGTTTCGAGGAAATTGCAATTTATAATTCAACAAAGGTACGGAGATAAATTAAGCATTTAAAGTTTCGATGAAATAAAATTTGTCGTCGAAACAACGATAATAATAAATTCGAGAAAATTAAAGTTTTTGACAAAGTTAACGAAGCGTTTGAACTTTGAATATAATTACTATAATAATATTAATTGTAGAAATTCAAAGTACATAAAAAAATCGAATAATTTTTTAAAGAAAAAGAAAAAAAAGAAATATTACTTAATATTTCGAATCGTTCGTTGCTTCTTTCGCAGGCCACAAGTCTTTTGAAGAAGGCAGAGGGTGTGGTGACACTTACAGTGTGCAACCCTAACCAAAGCAAAGTCGCTAAAGAGGAGGAGGACAGGGCGAAAGGCATTAAACCAGAACCTGAACGTAATTATTCCGAATATTGATACAATATCGATTGTATTCCATATACAACTCGATTTGTTTTAATATATTTGTTTTAATATAAAAATTGTAATATGTAGAAGAGAAAAAAGAGCCAGAGAAGCCACCGGAACCGAAACCGGAACCGGAACCGGAACCACCACAGGATCCGAAAGATTGTAAGATAGTGTCTGGAAAGGATACAACGATAGAGTTCCAGAAGGACAAGGACAAAGGCATCGGATTCATTATAGCTGGTGGATCTGACACACCATTGGTAAGTTTAATAAAATTATGGTAAAAAAGAGAACGAATACGAAATCGATAAAGCAATAATGAACATGTATGTACAACAATCTTTTGCTAACAATAAAGAAAAATTATTCTTCATTGGAGACAAAAATCTTTCCGATAAAAGATAGTTTAAGAATAATTAGGAAATGAATCTGTCAAGCCAAAGATAAATAAATACATTCCTAATGTTGATTCTTACTCTCTCGGCTGAGGATATAAATTTTTAATAAAAATGAATTTTCTAACAAAAATATTATATTTCAGAAAGGGGTGTTCATCGTCGAAGTGTTCCCGGATGGTGCGGCCCATAAGGACGGACGATTGCAAGCTGGGGACCAGATACTGGAAATATGCAGTCAAAGTTTCAAAGAGATAGAGCATGAAGAGGCACATGCCGCCGTGTTGAAAGTTTCAGGAACTGTACGTGTTATTTGGCATAATTTTTACAATTTTACTTTCCTTCCTTCCTTCCTTTCCTTTTTTTTAATTATTCTAATAAAAATTTTCAAGATTTTCGTAATAATTTTTCTTTCCTTCATACATTTCGAATCACTCGTTCGCAGATCACGATGGTGGTGCATCGACAAGAGAAAGGAGAGGAAGAAATCGAGGTCGAATTGCAGAAGAAGTCGGGAAAAGGGGCTGGTCTTTGCTTGACGGGATACAAAAGTGGGAAAGGGGCATATGTATCGGACCTGGTACGTCTCATCCAACTTCTCTCCTTGAATTTTTTTCAACCAGCCAGCTCGAGGAGAATTTCCTTTTCATAATTCGTATCGTTCGCCCAGTTGCCTGGTGGTAGCGCCTTGGAAAGTGGAAAAATCTGCAAAGGCGATCGAGTGGTGGCAGTCGGTGGCCAGGATGTTCGCGAAGCTCCGGTAGAGGACATAGCGGTCCACGTGAAAGTTTCTAACCCGGTGCAATTGAAGCTGGCCAGGTTCAAATCCGCTAAGAAATGACAGGTATTCCTATTCTATTTTTTCCATCGTCTGGTGATATTATTGTTACATTACAATCCTGATCCAATCATTTCATTCTTTATTCTTCTCTTAAATTTTCGAGTTCGTATATACATTCTTGTTGAATAAAAATTATTTAAATTATTCTAAAAAAAGAAATTTAATAAATCTGTCCAGGGTTCCGCAGGCGGAACTCGAAAGGCGAGAATTCGGGCGGCGATTCCCATCAGACACCACGGACTCTAGTGTGATATAACTGACTATATCAAAGTAATTATAAATATTGTTTATTATACATGTAAGTAATTCTAGAAGAGAGAGCGAGAGAGAGATTGAAAGAGAGAGAGAGTGAGAGCGAATGAGCGAAAGAGAGAGAGAGAGAGAATCAAAGAACGCGAATCTAAAAATGCAATCGTAAAAATCGTAAAAAAAAAAAAAACTCTTTACAACTATTCTTAGGAACTCGAATCATTTCGGATCTTGTTTAGCGACAAAGGGATATAAATTAAAAAAAAAACCGAAATTTCGAGTCTCACGCGATTTTATAGCAAAAGAAAAAAAAAAGGAAAAAAAAAAGAAAAGAAAAGAAAAGAAAAAAACACGCTGTTTCGAATACCAAATATCGATACGATCTGACATTGTTATTATCAGACGATTTCCGTCTGTCACGTTGAACATCTATGGTAATCGATAAGGATATTCGCGACACCCGTTATATACACTTATTAGAATTAACGACACAGAGTATTTATGCAGTTAGAGCGATATTATATATTATATACTATACATATATATATATATATATATATTGTAATAGCCACGTGGACGTATATCACGGTATACGTTTCGTGAAAGAGGTAGAAACTTGTGAAGAGTGTATTGTTATTAATAATTTGATTTAATTATGAAAATCGAATGGATCTTTCCTCTCGAGCTTCGTTTTCTTGTGAAGAAAGATAAAAAGGAGAAAAATAGGAAATGAAATTAAAGAAAAAAGAATTGGAGTGATTTTAAAGTAAATTTAGATCGAAAGTAAACTTAATTTAAATTAGAAATCGATCGAATTCATTTTCTATCTCATTTTGGAACAGATAGAAATTGTGAACTGAAATTGAAAATTAGAACAAGTCCAAGAAAATTCAATCAGCTTAACCGATCTCTTTTCTCGAATATCATTCCTTGTTCAATATTTAATTATCTTGGAAAGAGAATTTGTTTCCAAGAAGACGAACGGGACGAATGAAAGATTAACTATCGATCTAACTCGAGATTAAATCGATCGAAATTTAATTTCTTTGGCGTTTATCCTATCTTTGGAGAAGTTCCGGACGAAAGATCCGAAAAGGAAAGAAATAAATATAATTAAACCAAGAATTCGTTCGTGAGTTTCTCCCTCTTTCAAAACTATTCAAAACCGTGTCTTCATACGAACAGAGATATCTCGCTTGTACGTTTCGTATTCACTTACTTTTTAAGTTTAGACGACATAGAGACACTTAGAGTAGCGCACGACTGGACTGTCCGAAATCATTCTGAATTTTCATTCGCTCGAGGAAGAGCGAAAAATCGTAGAGAGACAAAAACTGATAGGCAAATTTTTTTTTTTTCTTAATTCTCTTCGAGAAATCGTTGGTCGAGAAACTTTCGAGCGAAAACACAGAGAAAATTCGAAAGTTTTATGAAGAAGCCGCGTTCACACTCGATGCTTTCTTTTCAATTAAAATGTTAAGGATTATTTTTAAAATAAACGCGTATAATTAAAATTTAAGGCTTATGTATTAACGTTGAAGCTTTATTAGAGGAGTAGAAGATATTTTTAGGATATAGTTATGATCCCAAAGAGATTATATGTTATATACACATTGAACAAAATATTTGTCGAAAAGTATCGGTTGCAATAGAGATATCGAGTTACCCTACATTCAACAAAATTATTAATCGGATAATT